CGTATGAAAATGATTCAACTGACCCATTTATTAATACGCAAAAATTCGCAGATCCCCAACACATAATTTTTCTTTATATTTATTATAATTATATATTTTTACCTTCAACGATGCAAATTCTAAGGAATTTCAATGGGATTTCTATTTGAAACTGAAATTATGAAACAACTGTACAGTAATCTATAATTAATTTCGTTGAGGGTACCAATTAAATATTGAATCATTTCCCATGACCTTAAAATATTTCAAAACCATGAAGATAGATAATGTCTATTAAAAATAATTTCTAATGAATTATTATTCCTTTATCTAAAATTTTATTTCCTTTCACTCCACTTTGTTTATTCACCCCATTTTAGGGTTTCTAAAAGTGAGAATATTTTCTTTTTGTTATACTCTGCCCTGAAGATGGATATCGAGGTGGCACCTCGTTCTCAAGGTTTTTCGATGGGAAAGCGTAACAATTAGCCCTTTATGCTGTATTCGTGAAATGTATCACAGAAAATACGGATGTCCAGAAACCGTTCTGGTAAACTAAACAGACCATCTGCTGGCAAAAATGTGATTTATGGTTCCTCCTTTGAGGGAACTCATTCTACTCCCTTTTAGTCAATCCATTGAAAAGTGCAAGGTCATAAGCTTCTAGTCATGAAACACTTTTCTATTCTATGAACAGCTGCACTAAGAGGACCAAGATTTCTGCAAGGTTTCGGATTAATCTTGATTTAAACTGAATTTTTATGTATCAATTAATGTCATCACCTGATCATTTGATTTAGGACTACCTTGTACCATTTTCATCAGGTGTAATACAACGAAACCTATTATTTCCAGTACTTCGTACTGTGTATCACATGATAAGTGCTATTTCGCGGTACTTTTATGTAATCAAATCATGTCGGACTTTCTACGTTTCGAAATATGCCATTTGATATGCAATAGCTTAATATTTTTTATATTTATTGAAAGAGATGCTATACAATTCCAATATTTCAAATTTCATAAAAACAGATGAATTCTATAATAACTCAGTGAATGAATAATTTTGAAATTTTCAAGCTTTGATCCCACAAAATTATTAATAACTTGCAGCTTTGATAAATAAATCCTAGGCTCACATTAATATTGCTCGAATAATAAATTAAAATTAAAAAAAACCAAATGAATCAGTAAAAGAAAGTGAATTTGACCGATTCAATTTAACTTCCTGTCAAACCCTGAAGATATTATTAATCGTGCCTTCCGCGATTTTAATACTCTCCAAATGTATCGTAAACTTCACATCTCGCTAAATAATCAATTTCAAGTCAATCGTAAAGCGGTTTATTTCAAGCTATCAAAACTCCTATACCCGCGATGAACACGCACGCGTTTCGTATAAAATTAATGAAACGTCTCACTTCCGGAAGGGCCCGTCAGGCGCCAGGAAGTCGTGACACAGCTCTGTCGCTCCACGTGACTCACGTACAATCATTCATCTACGTGTACGTCAACTTTATACAACGGAATAGAATTAAATATTAGACAATCGACAGACTTATTGTTTTCTCACGACTTACTATACTGCCCTCCTTATTAAAATGTCTTAAGGTTACGAAATAATAGGTACATTTTTGAAATTCAACAAACAGTAACAAAGAATCACACAAATGATCTTTTTTCAATTTTCTCAGATGATTTGGAATGTCAATTAAGACGATTGATTAAAATATGTACTATTTTAAAAAAATGATAAAATTAACATTCAATAGTAGCAATTTTTATAATATTAATAATGTTTTAAATCACAATGTGTTAGAGGTACACAAGTGCTGTATATAATTGAAATTTTGAAACAGTCCCAGATATACGTTTGATGGCCTTCTCGACGGAAAAGGAAGAGCCAAAGGCACGTTTTTACTATTGTGTCCGCAGCTTTATACCGGACGCGATATTTGTTTACGAGCAGGGCGGAGCAATACGTGGCCGTTTAATCTATTTCCAGGTGTCAGGGCTTGAACTATGTTAGACAGAACACACGAAGAAACAGTGGCATTGATAGCGTGTACGCGACTAAATTAACAAACGTTCAATAGAAAAGATTGTCTTCGAGCTACATCGATTTAAATGGCTCTAAGATAGTGGTTTGATTTTGGAATCCATACCAGTTATAAAATATTGAAAATATGTTATTTTTCTCATCTTATTTAATAAGAGTAAGTATGCTTGAAATCATTATAAAATGATGAAAATTCCAAAAATTAACCTTTTCATTTTTGCTAAAATGGTAAAAGTGTCTCCGTGACTTCTGGACAGGAGTGTACATCACTGGCATTCACCAAAAATTTCTCAAGGCTACAATTAAACAAACACTTCCTACAAGAATCTGCAAGAAAGCAATACGTTTCTTGATCAAACAGAAACACGGTACAAAGAAAAGGAAATTCAACACCTGGACCTTGCTTGACCTAACTCAAACGTTCTATAGGGATCTTCTTTTCACGAAGAAAAACGAAACATTTCCATGGGAGCTTCTCGTAGAAAAGGTTTACCACCGGCAGCTGCCGTCAGTGGCATATTGTGAAAGCATAGCAGTTGTCCAGAAGTGTACCTGTTCTGCCCTAATTGGCTATTGACGATCATTTCGTGCACCCAGGGTGCTCTCGTGTCAGATAAAAATCAAGAACAGTGGTTGAACGGTTGCAATAAGAATGACAAATTATTATTTTTTTCTATAACTTGATCAGTTTCTGATATCATCTTCGTAGAAACAAGCAATGCGTCAATTACGAAGAACTATTTACTCACGCGTAGAGACTATCTATAATATCATTAAAATAGGTATTCCTCTTCAATAAAATTTAGTGATACTGATACTGCTAATTACATTTTTAATACCCTATTATACGTATTTTATTCTAATCTTATCAATTTTCTGAGCTTAAAGCCATCAGAAGTATCGACACCTCTCATAAAGATACTATACTGAAAATGTATGGTTCCATTGATACAAAGAAGAACTTTAACGATCTTGAAATAATCTTGAAATTAACCTTGACAAGAATCCCATTTTTTATACAACCATATGTGACCCGTCGAAGTATATACAGTGACTCAGAAAAGTATACCTACATATTTGGAATGTAAGTGTTTGAACATTTTCATGAGTGACTGTAACATCCCCCTGTAACATTTTTTCACATTTCCAACAGCGATAAAAATATTCAAGGTGTTCATGACAAATGGGACACGTACATATATAGGTCATCAAGTATGTGCCTGTAATAATAATGACGATATTATTTCTCACTGAATTAAACAGTTTAACAGATCCATTAAACCGACCGGTTCTCGAAGCATAGAACACTTAAACGAGAATATTTTAGATGCAATCTTTTCGATCATGCTTCTCGAAATTTATAACCTGAGAAAGGAATTATGGTAGCTGACAGCTGGCCGTTGTAAATACACTTCTGCTTGCTCGTAATATCACGGAAAATAGCAGAAGAGGAGCAGGTGGAGTTACGGCGACTTTCGGTGTATCCTCTCTCTTAAAGCCTCCTTTACACGTTTACGTAATTTGTGTACACTAAATTCTGTGTAATTGGTCATTAGGTATAGAAATTTGAAGTTTACGTAGACGAAAATATTTTACTCGAGCACAATCTGTTTTGCTATATAATTTGCATAAACTTGGTACAGAAAACTAAATCATTTTTATTGCTCCAGGATTCGTTAATTTAAAACAAGTCATTTTGACTCCTCTGATAGTTCTAGTATTGAAATCATTTATTTGAGAACATTTCTATTCAATCACTCCAGTTTGTTTACATTTCATGAACGTGTAAATGCAGCTTTAAATGTACCAACATTCTCTCTCTCACTTTATCTTTTTCTTCCCTCATTTCACAGTTCGCGGTTATTATTTAACGTGAAAACGGCAACAAAAACCGCAACCCGTGTCAACCAATTCGAAAGTCAATTTTACGAAGGATAACTCTATGCATAAAGAAAAAATTTCGCATTGACCACAGAACACCAAAAGATCACTTTCCCGAGTAGTAACCACAGATAATTAAAACAACGCACGGTACAAAGCACAGGAACAGAAGTGGAAAGGGATGATTATTACAAATTTAAACGCCGTGTTATGGATCGTTTGTAAGATTCTATCTACAGAGGAAACTTGATGATGAAAATAATTTCCACTGGTGCAAAGTGAAGGAAATGTCATTATCATAATTAATCACATCAAAAAGCTGATAGGCAGAAACATGAGCATTCAGTAGAAAATAACAACGAAGAGTGAATATATTTTCCGTTTTATAATAAATCGGAAATAATTTATCACTAAAGCCGTTTGTTCAACGATACTCATCAGTAAATCATCGCAAAAAAAAAAAAATAATGTAATTTTATATAGTGCACGTTATTAGTGTATCATACGACAGAATTTGATTTTTATACTTTCTGAAATATATAAAATAAAAAAATCATTTTATGGGAAATCGAAGAGGTCACATAAGGTAACGACCGATTTTTATTAGTTATTTAATAACATTTCGAAAGACATCGATTAGTCCAAAGATAAACCGTAGATACCACACGTGGACTAGACAAAGTTACAAAATCTATCTCTTCAAGTGAATCCAAAACAATTTATGATAGCTTATCGTACAACCGAATTAGCTGATAATGAAATGACAGATTTCTTGATTTTATAAATGTTCGACACCTAGTGTAACTGTTACGAGAAGATGAAACTTAAAAAAATGAGACGAAATGGAAATGTTAGCGTATAAAAGCGATTATCCTTCTGCCAAGCAGCTGCTGAATGCAGCTGTGAAAGACTTTCTCTGAAAAACTGGACTTAATGACTTTGCCAAAATATTATTGCAATGTAACACTTTGTCCCTTCAACATGCAATAAATCACAAAAATATTTCGAGTAACGAATAAAACACATAAAAATTTTGATATCCATAATTTTGCCAAATGCAATAATTAATTAGAGTACTTACCGAATGACCTTCCTTCTGTTATTGGGATGAATTCTCTTAGCCATATCTGGATCAACTTTCTTCAACTTTTCATGAAGCTCTTCGTTACTCTCTGTGGTGAGCCGATCTAATTCGACCTTCTTCTTCTTCAAAGGCGAAACTTCTTCGTTTTCTTCCTCCCCTGGTTCATCAGACGCGTCCTTCCTCTCCGAATCATCAAACGCCGAAGTTGCATCGCTTATCAATACTTGCCATAGAAGAGATTCTATGTAATAATTGGTGCCGCCAACGATGATCGGTAGCTTTCCTCTAGCCAGAAGATCGTCTATCTAAATCGACCAAAAAAGGATCGTTCGAACAAGATACAGGATGGTTACACAGGATCTACTAATACGAAAGACCGTGACTTATTAATTATCAGTATCACGGTCTTCCTTTCGGTAATTATTCAGCTCCGTTCATAAAATTCTTTTTACGAAGCCTGTCAAACTTCGAATGAACTGATATCGCGCTAATTCCATCGCATTATTCCTGCGGAAAGTGAAAATGCAGATGGATAATTCAACGGATTTGCACGGCAGTCGACAATTTTACGCTCTAATCAATAATTATCACACGTCTATATCGGCATGCCAACGATATCACATTCTTAAGACCACATTCTTTTCTCTCGTTTTTCGAATAACGACGTGCATTTGGAAAGTTGCCTTCGTTTGGTATTCAAACCAATAGTTGGCACATTTAGCAGGGAATTTTTCTAAATACTCCGGATTGTTAGGGGACAGTGGTAAGAATATAACAGTGTTAATCGAGGCAGAAATTACTATTGGTGTGGCCATATTCCGGAATTGCACCACGGTGAAGTTTGGATCCAGAGGATCCACGATGTCTAACATGTGATGAGGTGCCATTGCTTGTTCTTCTTTAGTCACTTTTGCAGTGACGATATCCAGACCTTTGTATACCTGCAAATTAATAAAAAAGTTAGATAAAAGAAAATAGACAATACGATTCTGAATATCAAAATATAAATAAAGATTATTTTAAGTATGGAAATCGTATGAATTTGCCGACGTGACTTTTGCAATAATTATTCTTTGAAAGTAAACTGAACGTGACTAGCGTTAGATTATTGTAACATTAAACAAACGTAGGCAAGAAAACATTTTGGCTAAATTTATTTCTTTGATAATCATAATGTTGTTTTATCCAACTCTGCTAGAATAGTATTCTTGCTGAAATGCAAATGTATTGATAGAAATTAATTTTAAATAAAATGGTACTTTAATCAAATAACGACCTTAGGGAATTATGTCATCTATGGAGCTAAATTTAGAAATGTTAAAAAAGAACAAGGCAATCAGAAATTATCTGCAGACACGCTGTCTGAAAACTTCAAAACCTACGATCGTTTATGGGCTCGGCTTGGTTGACTGTGAAACGAAGTTGAAGATAAGTGAAACGCAGAAAGCCGAATCAGGAAATGTCAAACCATGTATCGGTTAGTTATCAACGTTGCCAAACCAGCTGCCTGTCAGGTAATTTCATTCTTCCCCTTAATAAGTGTCACCGCTAGACGAGGAAGTGAACGAAAGGAAATCGCGGGAAACGGTTAACGAGCAAATTTTCCTTATCTCTCGTCGTTTGCAAAATGTCCGATGCTTCTATGGTGAAAAAATGGAACAAGAGTTCCATAATTACGATACCTCTTTTTGTTAACCCTTAGATGGTGAACAGGGCTGTAGAGCTCCGTTTATCATGATAGAATGTTGAAACCTTTATTTGTCATAAATTTAAGATAAGAACTGAGAAAATGGAACATTATTAAGAAAAATTCTCAGAAGTTATAATATTGTTCTATCGCAAAAATATCATTTTATATTCCCAATGTTCCGTTAAGTTACGCTATCACTGACCGAACAAACAGGTTTTCGACGTTACGGTTTGTGCTGAGTTAACTTGAATGACCACGTCTTCAACTTTCATTAACCTTTTTATCAACATCTTATTGGACCAGTCGCCGTAGAATCCCTTAAAGCAAGAACGGAACTTCCATTTAAAGATCACGCGCCATCGTTAAAAAGAGTAAGGAAAACGAAATTCCAATGAAACGGGACTGATTACCCGAGCTTTCTATATGTCCGCCTACCAACAACTACAGTGGTTTGCATTAATACTCAAACATTGTAATATTTAAGTAATTATTACTGTACTCATTTAAAATTATATTAAAAAAGTAATTAATGTATGAGGTGACATGATGGATATGATGTTAAATATATTGGAAATAGTTTAATTAAATATATGTTAAATAATTAAAACTTAAGCTTGAAGGGTTAAATAAATTCTAATTTTAATTACAAAGTCACAAAACTCTTTTGGTTCAAATGAGATTTAAAAGGAGAAGAAGTGGTACAGGAGCACATAAGCAAATACTTCAGCCGGAAGTTTCTTTATACTTAAATACAACCTTCGTCTGAAAGCATAATGATAAAACAAACGGAAAACGAAAGTAGAGAAGGCCAGAGAACACGTGGACCAAGTATCGGGAAGGGTTCAAGGAAAAATTGAGTAACGACCACTACCTTTCATTAACAGAATTAGTAACTGTTCTATACAAATCAGTATTGTTTCATCGCAATGTCTCACGTAATACTTATCATAATTACAGTGAACATATGTTTTTCAAGAAATAAAAACAATTTTGAAGTTATCATAAGTTGTTGTTAATCATCCAATTAACCATCATAAAGTAGACGAATAGATAACGTATCGTCGACTTTGAATTTATTAATAAAAATCAAAGGATAACCGTAATACTAACATTTAATAATTTGGCAAAATGGGAAAAGTATCTGCATAAAAATAAATGCCACTAAATTATTTTCTTTTATGAATGAAATGAAACCGATGTTTAAGTCTAAAAGGACCCACCACCTGAAGTGTTAACATCTACCCGAAGAAAAAAGTATGTGATAAATTAGAATTCATTAAGACTATTAAAAGTTACTCCCGCATTCAGTCTAAAAATGTATAATACCAAGTTTGAAGATGCCGATCCTATTAACAGAACCTGGAAATTAGCAAACAACCTAATTCACAGTTCTATCTTCTTGAACAAAAAGGAGTTTATGTATTTGTTTAGGCAAACTTTTCGTAGAAAGTTGATTCGAACACAAACTTGAACGCCAATTATAAACATACAGTTAATTCTATTATACGGTTACCGTAATCTTGTTTGCAATAGTAATGAACCAAACAAATAAAACGATTCAATATCTTTCGCGTAGATATATTTTAACACTTAAAAATCACTGTAACACTTTTGAATAATAACCATTAAAATGAATAATAACTTCTGAAGACGTGATACGTTTCTTTCATTTTCTACAACCTGAATTTTTTACACTGAATGTAAGAAAATTTTTAAATTGATGAATCATCAACTAAAGAAGATAACGATGAAAAATGTTACATTTATACATTGCAGTAACTAAATAAGGGCCAGGATGGGCCTGGTCCTCCCACAAATTCTAAAATTCTGTGGACCTACCCAACCCTAGAAGAAGGTCTTAGTTACACCAATGAGTTTATACATATTTTTTATAATTTTTCTATCATTTTGCAAGTATACATGATTATTTATGTTTTAGTCTAAAACTGCTCAATTTCCCTGATAATTTGAATCCTCGTCCATTTAACCAAGAAAGTCATTACATAACCCTAGGTGGAAAAAAGCGACAATGATTAATTAACGAGCATAACGATGGCTGGTGTCGAAATCCACGTCTCGCCCGCTGACCGAAGCATCATTCATCGTTCGCTCGTTCATCATTCCGCGGACCAATTCGTCAACGAAGAAATTCCGCGGAGGATCTGTAAGGAATTCGCGGCGCATCCGCTCCAGACGAAGCCGATTCGAGAGACTCCGTAAATAGACAGTGAGAGAACGAGGAACGGTAAGTCTAATCGCTTCCTAGACTCAAGGTCGCGAGGCTAAAGCTGAAGAGGGGCAACCAGTGGAGCGAAAGGTACACGAATAGAGCACAGAAACGGTCGACCAATTAGAAGAGAAACAGAGAAATCCACGATGCTGTAACAACGCCAACGCTGTACAAGAAATGTTCTTTTTATCTTTTTCTTTTCATTTGTTCATTTGATATATTGTATGGGAAAAATAAAAAATTAAATTCAATGAAAGACTTGAAATGATTTTTACCCCCATGACCCAATTTATCAACTTGAAATCCAATAATTTCATCTAAAAGGCTTTCTAGTTTGACTGAATTATATGAGACACCCTGTATATTATACGGAACGATTACTTATTAAGTATGTAAAATTTCAAATTCATTTCAAACCCATCATGAATGGATAACAAGTAGTTTTCTTGGAAATAAAACTTATTACAACTACCATGAATTTTTAAGTGGTTTAATTAAATATTAATTGTTATACAAATTATTATCATCCCAATTAATTTTGATTACTAAAGCAACTACCCATTACTCATTTACGATGATTGGTTAAATAATGAATTTGAAGTTTCATTTAATTAATATTTAACGACTCGAGCAATATCGAATACAATAATTATGGACAAGAAGCGGTAGGTACCAAGAAGTCTTGCCCAAAGGGTTTAAATACAAAAATAGCAGATCAAAATTCTCGAGATGATCCAATAAGCAATTGCGCAAAGGAGTTACATAAACATTCGTTGTCGGTGTGATCTATTATTTTATGGCTACGAATAAGTACGATATCCTTTTTATATTTACAAGTGTTCCGCGTGGTGGTTAATGACGGTTAACTCTAAAGAAGGAAGTTCTCGCGTTTACAACGCCCAGAGCGTAATGATTTACGTACTGATATCCCTGAAAAGATGAAGAGGACCTCCCACCGATACGAGGCCGCGATCATCAAAGTTAAACGGCAAATCGCTAAGCAATTACTGTATACACCTTGATAGAAATTCTATCGCGTACGTGTCACTCGAAAAACTCGGGATCGTTATTCAATTACGATTCTTCCGCTTGAAATTAATCAAGATTTTTTGGAACGAGCCTGGAGCGCAGACGTTTCGTTAGCGAACCATCACTAATTATCCTAATATAATACAATACGTGTTTACGTGAAAGAATCATCGTTCGTGTTCAGTGAATTCCTTTTTAATATTCCCGATTATGCTCGGTCCAAAGAACAGTGTACCTGAGTTTATTATAATGTGTTTAGTAAGTGAATTGTTAAACGACAACCATCAAGACGATTTAAATAATTAATAGAAAATCTTAGCTAATATTTTATTTAGATGCTTCCTTCTTTAGTAATATTATAATTCTATGGCATACTGTTAATTAACGTTTTGCTGCAAACCTATATTTCTTATAATTTGTGTGATAATGTTAATTATGATACACCCAAGTAATTCAAGTCATCATAAATATAAATTTTTAAATATTAAATCAGATATTATTATCGAATAATGTATATTCATAAACATATTTCTGTAAGATGAAATCGTATAATAATTTCACTCTTGTTTTTTAATAAGATAATGGCTGACACAATTTTCTTATTCTCTAACATTTTTCACATATGAATCTATTTAAAGTGTCGCTTTAGATTTTTATAACTTAAAAGTTGATGTTAGAGTTTCTCTCATCATAAATTGAGATTACGAAAGGAAACGTCATAAGCACTTTCACTTGCTGTTACAAATGAAATAATCGCACGCGATGTTACCCCCGGAAAAGGTGTACCACCTTGTCTGTTCCATCATCGATGTTATGAATTTTACATACAATTATAATTTAAATAATTTAAATAAAACATGCACAACCGCGACCTTCTATTAGGTTGCTGTATATCAATGCATAAGGAGAATGTATTATCTGCGTGTATTATCTCATTACCTCAAGAGTGGATCATGTTTTCGATGGTAAAAGATAATTATTTTGATGACGAT